GGAGAGAGTGAGAGAGAATGAGAAAGAGAGACAGACAGAGACATACAGACATACAGACAGACAGACAGACAGACAGACAGACAGACAGACATAGACACAGAGAATTCCCATCCTCACTTCACACCATCTGGGACAGCTGCTGCAACTTTTGTCACCTAAACCGCAAATTTTGCCACCGACACCTCCACAAAACCACCCCCACAGATGGCATTACCACTAGCCTGGGTGTGAAATGACAGACATACTGTAACTGTACTCAGCTTGTTGGGAAAATAGAAAAACAGTTATGATGATGAAGACAATGATGACAAAAAAACCTGCATAACGTTGGAGGGGATGGGGGGGGTTGTGCACGGCAGACTCCTGGAGAGAAAGGTGTTAACTTTCTCTGTTAGTTTTAGTAAGAGTTTTACGGCACTTGAAGCATGCAAAAAGTAATTAAGTGCCGAAGATTAGGTGTTACAAGAGAGTAACAAACACCAAAAGAAGGAGAGAAGCAGATAAGGAGATAGATATTTCATAGGAAAGAAGGAGCAAACCACACCAGAGCACCCGCCAACCACCATGCCAACAGACGGAGGCAGAAACGCAATACACATTGAGAGGACCACATTAGAAATTGTGGTAAAAGTATACCTCAGAAGCCAAAAGCATACTTGCCATATATATAAGAAGTCTCAAGTTCACAAGTGACCCGCAATTTTGCTCTCAAGTGGGTCCATTCGTAATCCGTGAGAATGTTCTAAACAAGAACTCAACACAACTTTTATCAGTTCGGACACTGGCTGCTTCAACCTTGCTTGGCCGGGTTAGCATAAAAGCAGAGTGAGACGCAGCATCCTTGCAGAAAGATGGATGGCGATTCTTCACGCGGTTTTTTTAATCATGAAGAAAAAATGCCTTTCCCTGCTGGGAATCGAATCGAACTGCCATCTGTTGTATAAGAATAAGAGCCTAAGCATTGTATCTTAGACACTGGTCACCTATTTGTGACTTCCATGCAGTCCACTACAGACTGACAGGCTATATAAAGCAGCATACACAACACATCCTAACCTCAACAATGGATGTCTTTTAGTTTGATTTAAATACAGAAGAGTACGCATCAACAACACGGCTGCAATTTAATATTAACAAGATAAACCATTAATAAATCATTTATAGAGGAACCCGCAATCCATGCCCAGGTGCACTTTCAGTATAAAAGTAAAAAGGGGAGGG